ACTCAGATTCCAGCTTCCAAAAACATACAATTCAATCATAGACATAATCCCTTCCAGATCCATGGAACCAAACGACCCATTCATCTGTTACCACTTGCATGTTTCCAAGCGATACAAGGCTTTGTCTATATAAGACTCAAACTCACTGCAGAGCCAGACATTTGAATTGAGAAAGCTTCCTGGAGAGGTGGCGAAACGTCTTCAAATCTTGGAAACCAAGTCCAGTGGATATTTTTTGAATTTTTACGGAATGACTTTCCACTTAAGTGTCTTATTTGGTTTAGCAAGCACAAAAAGCATGCTTTAGGTCTAACAACACCACATTTAAAAAAAATGTTTTTAAACACAATAAAAATTGAACAAGTTGTTCACAGTTCGTGACAAAGTTATGTTGCATTTTTTCTTAATTCTTAGACACAACGCTATTGACACTCACTGCCTCATGTTAGATCCACCATTGTAGATCTCATTCCCTCTTAGAGGAGGTTTGTAGAAGACCCTCCACATAGACTTCTGATTCTCTTCAACATTTAACCTATCGCTCCAAACTGTATTAGTCCTCCCACTCAACAGTCTTTTATTTAGACCATGAACAGACATTTACACAGTAATTTTCCTATCAGCATACAAAAAACTAAGTCTTTCTTGGTATGCAATAAAGGTAAAATCTATATTCAAACCCATTTCTGGAAACAGATCTGTAGCATCAGGAAATTGTTTTCAATTAAAATAAACTTTTTAACTTGAAATCTAAGACAGTCCTCGTGATTAGATTTGATTTCAGCCAAATTAAAGAAGTGGTTGCTTCTGTGTTTTGAAGTGTTGGTCCAGCCACTTCAACAATTTGTATCATTTTCAGAATTCTTTCATCAAGCAATCTTCTTGATAAACCAACTCCAGCTCCATCCTGTATATCTGACTGTGCTCCAAAAATTCAGGGTTCTTCCAAAACAAAGATGTCACTTTCAGTCTTTTGCATTTTTATATTCATTAAAATTAGATTAATTACCTCATTTCACACAGCCGCTGCAAACAGAAATGGAGTTCAATCCAACGACAGGCGACCAGAAGATCAGGATTTTACCACGCTATGGTCTTTACCACGCTGGTGCTCATGGGAAATGTTTTCTCCCTTCAGGCAAAACTATTCCGCTTTTTTTCCACTGGGGGAGCCAAAATAGACCAAAACTGAAAGTTCTTTAGAGCGTCTTAAACTTCATATTGCCCAGGCCTGTTGAGAAATATTTTAGTCTTTTTAGATGTACCAAACTGGTGAATATCAGTCTCAAAATCAAATAAAATGTATTTGTATAACCTTTTACAATAGCCAAATGGTACCTAAAGTGCTTTACAACAAAGCCATAAAACAATACATAACACATGTAAAACATACAAGATACAATTAAAAGTGCTGTAGTGGTGCAGGACATTAAAAGCCTTCCAGAGGTGCATAGAAAGGAGCACACAGAAAGATAAAAAAAACTAAACAACAATGTATTGACTTGGGGGGCTTTGATATAGGGCGGACCTTAACCTTTAAGGTTTTTATACAATAAAAATATATATGTATATTTTATATTCACTTAACACGTTTGCAATAGGCTACCTTGCGTTGGTCCACATAAAATACGAATAAAACACTTTGGAGTGCCATAATTTATCAAAGTATTAATACATCTTGAAGGCGCTGTGTGTATGCAGCATCATTGTAAAAGGATTTTTAAACTAAGTATACTTGGATAGGGAATCCAGTTGCCTTCAGCAGGATTGTGATGAATGGAAGGAATTCAGCAACACAGTTACATCAAATATAGATGTGTCGTTCTTTTAATAACTAATCTCTGGTTCCCTTTTCAGCTCCTCATCCTTATCCTGATCTTACCGGTATAATTATTGGAACTGTGGTCATGGTGGTGGTCTTGCTGATATTGGGAATTATCATCACCCACATGGCTACAAAACGGTTTGTCAAGAAAAAGATGCGGAGTCAGTCTCTGTGTCTATCTGAAGAATCAAAGGAACAAAGCAAGGTATTCTAAGCATACTGTGAGTGGCTGATTTGATCATTTTTATTTGCATGAATTGTTAGTCATTCTTATTTTTTGTGTCTGCTAGGATTTCCTGATCAATGCCAAAAGTCATCCAGAGGAAATGAGTGTGAAAACTGTCGTTGAAAACTCTTTGGGTGAGCAGGAGTTATGCAAGCTGCCAGACTGTGTCCCGATGAGTAAGTCTATGACAGTATCTGCTGGCTTTAACATTTATAATGCAGAAAATAAACAGCTGCTGAGACCTCTCCTCTTCTCCATTCTGCAGTCCCTGACCTTATCTACACTGTGCTGGATCTGGTTCCTGTGCACCAGGTAAAGCAGCTGGTTCGCTCTCTCGGTGTAACCGATATGGAAATCGAGCAAGCAGAGATGGATCACAGGTTCTGCCGTGAGGCTCACTACCAGATGCTACGGGTGTGGGCCCAGGGGGGCTCGCGGACAATTGCCGGAGTAAAGGGTGAAACTGTTCACCAATCGCTATTAGATGAACTCTTAGACAAACTGAGACAGATTCACCTGAACCGGGCAGCCGAGGAACTGGAGGCAAAGTATACCATTCAGTGATATAAACTGTGCCAACCTGCGGTTATAAAAACAACACCTATGAGACCAAGTATTGTTCGATAAGAGACCCTGCAAAGGATGCTTTGAAACGGAGATGGTGCTAATCCACAGCAGTAGTTTTATTTCACAGAGACAAAGAGCACAATCTATGATCTTCAAAACCCTTCACTGTGACCAACAAAGAAATGCTCGCTGCAAATCAAAGACTGCAACAAACTGGGACAAATTCGTTCAGCTTCATCAAGAAGTATTTTTGCTGTAGATGTTCTATTGTTTGAGATTTAATTTCGATGGGAAGTTTGACATATGTTTAGTTGACCAACTATGAGGAAATAATTGACCAATAATAGCACAAGGCTAAGAAACAACGGCAAACAGCGGGTCTCTCTCAATAAAAACTAATGTTGCTTTCCATTTATCAGAAATCTGCAATATTGAGAAGTCCCAGTGTTTAGACAATTTATCTAGTTTTTCTGCAGATTGGTCTGAATTGGAACTCAAAGTCTTTAATTTCATACTTTGATTCAATCAGGAAATAACAGATTTGTGTTTTTTTCCCCCTTTTGGTAGCAGCATGATGATATGGTTATCTTTTTACTAACCGACTTACTTTTGCATCTTTGGAGTTAAATTAGGCACATTTACTATAATTTTAATTGCAACGAAAGCAAAACATTGTAGTTAGGAAACTGCAAGCATTTCCACGATAACAAACCTTTATGTGTGATAACATTCGTTATAAAGATCTAAATGTTTACCTGGTATCATTTAGCATCAGAAGAGTTGACAGAGAAGATTGTTGAGTTTCAAAAACTACAATGACGCTAGGTTGCAGTTTTTCTTTAATTGTTAGTATTTTCATTATGTAATAGTTTAAATTGATTTAATAGGTTTGTTATTCAATGTTGCACATTTCAAGTTTTTTATTGAATAATATTGTTATTTTACACAGGCTGCAAACTAACAGGACGTTATGCTGTGTTTAAACAAAGGTTTGGGTTGCAACAACTCCCCTATAAATGTACAAAAGTTCTGCATTTAGATTTTATTTTGAGATGCACCAATCACGCTTTAAGTGGCGGTTGGTTGTGATTCAGTGGTTCGCCCCATTTAAGTGATTTAAAGCTGTTGGTTGATGCATCTACATACTGAAGGGGGGTTCTTTTCTTTATTTTTCTTTTGCAGAGAAAATACTTTGTGATCAAACCTTTTGTTAAATACTTTATCTGAAGTTAAAGTTTAAACAGCTTTTCTAATATCAAAGGGACAAAATTAAGTCATTTCTTAGTGAGAATATTAATAGATTTTTCACTTTAGTATTGATCTTTTGATGAGAGTTTTGTATTAGAGACATTTTATATTTTCAGATAAGACTTTGTACTATATTGCATTTTCACATAGCTTTATTTTTTGTAATGAGGACCTTAATGGATTGTCATTCCTGTGTCATTTAACTGAAGTCACCTAAGCTATTTGTATTAGTTTGTAGATGTTTTTACTATTTTGTAACATGTAGAGTGTTTTTTTTCACTCTAAATGTCAAATAAAAAAGAGGAGTGGTTTACCAACATAATACATCAAAGCTGGTAATATTTTCATACCAGTTCCCTGTTATGCTGGAGAAGGGAAAAAAGTCAGATCTACTTTATTGTGAACAATGAAGCCGGGGAAGTGTTTTGTTCCTCCTCAACATACAGTATACCACACTCTGTTGTGTTTTACAGTCTCTGCAGTGCCTCGGCAGCATTCTTTTAATCCCCAATCATACAAGCATTATTCATGACACACCTTGTCTCAAATCTTATTCAGCTTTTATTTTACTGCCAATCATATAAGGATCTTGGGACTGAAGAAGTGCAACTCTAAAAACTTTTTATTTTCCATTCTGCTTGACACTGTGTTTAACTGTTGTTTTTAATAAAAAGGTGTAATTTTTTTCTGCGTGTCTGAGATGTGTTTTAAACTTTTCAGACAGTATGTTTGGTGCTTGGAGGGGGGGAGAAAATATTTGAGGATGTAATTGTGGATTTGACTGCAGGCACGCTGCAAGTCTGCATTCCAACATGAGGTCTTCAACACTCAATCACATATTTTTCCACTATCGATTTAACCAAAAATATTCTTGTCCTCCACTCCAGGAACTGGCTTTTTATTGCAGCTAGGACATAAAACATGAGAAAATGTTATCTTTCTCCCCTTTAAAATGATTTGAGTGGGAATAAGCATGTTGGATATGAAAAACCATTGATTATTTTCAAAGAAATTAGTCCCCACCTCTGCTCCACCAAGCACTTTTTAACTGCGACACATTAACCAAACCTCAGCACTGATTTGTTGGCTCTAAAGAAATCCAGTTGTTCTGGTCTGACCACTTGTTGAGGCCGGTGTTCAGGTAAAAGGAAGAGAGGGAGGGACTGATCAGGCCAGAGAGGAAGGAGAGGAGGAGAAAGCCAACAGAAACCAAAGATGACTGTGTGAAGCAAAATGGATCCAACCAAGCCCAGGTAAAATCTGAATTATTTCTCATCTATTTGTTGTAAAAACCGATTAAATAGAGTCGTTGTATGATTTATTTCCTATGTACTGATACGCATTCGTGGAGCTCTCGTCTAGACTCACAGATGACTCTTCAGTATTTGATGTTTTGCTTTACAGGGTTTGTTTTTTTAAGTTCAAGAGACTTAGATTAATGAAGCATAGTTGATCAGTTTAAAAAACATTACAGGTCAGATATGAAAATATTTTTCAAAATTCAAAAGCTTTCACAGTGTTTTCTCCAGACACCGGGCTACACCTGTAAACAGGTAACACACAGTGATGGAGGAACTTACGTAAGTCAATAGAAGTTTGACAGCAAGGCAGGAGCTAATTATTGCAGTGTACGTGTCTCTATTATGTCCTCCTTAAAGAATCTTTGCTCGCACCATAAAAATTCAAACAGAAGCATAAGTACTTCTTAATCTTTTTTGTTTTAAAAAGTGTTGTTAACCACTTTTGTTAGGCAGCTGTGCTGAGCTGTCATGGTGTTATTAGTATAGTAGATAGTTTGATGGGATCCAGTGGTTTAGGAATAAGAGAAAAATCCAAACATTAAATCAAAGCTCCTAAATTATAACCTGGGAGACAATTTCTGGTTTCACCGGCACATCTATGTAATTAGATCTTGAGCTTTGTAAAAAATACTGGTGTTCGAATTTAAAGGTATCTGCAAAATCAGATAAAATATTCTGTTGATGTTTTAATTATTTGATTAAAAAGGAGATTTACATGGTTGTAGAGACCAACATGCAGGTTGTTATTTCCTCTCTTTCCAGGACAGATTGCTATCTCTGTGCCCTACTTCTGTTTTCCTGTTCAAGTATTATTATTTGGCTCATTTTGCATTTACTTCTCCCTATTACATTAGATTTGTATTTCTTCAAACTGTTATGCTATATGTTGTAGTTTTGTATTGTTTTAATGTTTCTCAGATAATATTGCACATTCTCGGAACCTATTCAGCATCTGTTTAGTCATCACCCAAGCTGTTGTTTTTTTTACATTAACAAGTCTCATTTAACTAGATGCACTCACAAATTCTCACAAATGCATGCAGTGTTGCTTAGATCTGAGCATCTCACCTGAGAAATCACAACCTAGTGCTTTCCAGACATCTACTTATAGCCCCACCTACCCTCCCTTACAGACGTTTTTCCTCCAGCTGTTTAACAATTGTAGCCTATTAACCCTATTAATAAACACACAGTGATGTCTCTGCATTTAGGGTAAATAAACCAGGGTTTGCTAAAATGTCTAATTAGTGCCGTTTATATTAAACTCCTATATTAAAAGTAACCAGGTATTCACTGACTTGAGACATAACACAACTTCTTGTACACGATTGTCAAAGTTTACTAGGTGTTAATTTTTCCTATTCCTATGCTTTGAATAGGGCCATTGCTAATGAAATAGCAAAGCTGTGTTATTGTCACCTGCCAAAATCAATCTTTTAAAGGTCAATACTCGGAGTGTGTTGAAAAAATGGATAATAAACATTGGATGCTCTTTTAGGCACACAGAATACCTTTTTGCCACTTTCAAAACATGGATAGATGCCCACACAAACTTATTTGGGTTTTTGAGCTCTTAAATGTTTTACATTGAACCAAGATAAGCCTACTGTACCGCCAGATAACCACACCAAGCAGCAGGCCCCTTCAAGATTTCTTTAGGAATTATCTAGTTTAATTTGCCATTTAGTGACAGGTGATGATCACACATGGCTTTAACGTGTAAGAAAATCAAGTTTAATATAATGTCATCCCTCTGCAAATATTAAAGTGTTTAAGTGTGCAGTCTAGGGCAATGATAATATCATATAGTTCCTATTTTGCTGGAGTACAAGTGACAGAAGACAGCAGAGGGCAGACTTTTCTTTAACAAAAACTTTCCAGAAGGTCACTCATGGTGTTCTTTGGTACTCAGCTGCTTTTTTGATATCTTTCTATTATATATAGATATAATATACAGATATTTTATGTGACAGACTATCAAGGGACTATTTTTATAGTTCGGTTTGAGCAGCCTGTCACAAAGATGTATATCTTGGGTTGCATCAATGAAAAATTGAAATATAACAATGGTTTAAAAATGATATTATCTCACTAATGAGATGATTCCAAAGCAGCTATGAAGCAAAACCTTGGGATAAAACACATTTTTATTTTAAAATGAAGCATCTATCTGGTCCTTTGTGAAATAACAGTTGGATTTCTTCTTTTAATTAGTGTACATCTTTCATGTATAGTTTTTTTTTCTTTTATCTATACATTTCTTTTTGAAAAACTGAACTATGAAACTCAACAAATCAAACAACAAACAGATTGAAACCCTTGCAGCCAGACTTTAAAGAAAAAACTTGGAAAGACCGTCTAAAATATTAGAGAAAGTTGACAAAGACACCAATAAAATATTTAAGACTCATTACTTATCTTTTATGACTTTTTAATGCAACCATCTGTTTTCAGTTGCTCTAAAAATCTTAAGCCACCAGACTTGGGAGGAGAACTGGAAGTAGACATATCAGAATTGTAACAATGTCATTTTTTCATTCTCTGGATAAATACATAAAGTTTCATCAGTGGCTTTACACCACATTCTCTCAATAAGTTACCGTGTGTGTCTGTCCTCAGCCTGTCCCCGAAAATGCCTTATGTAAACAACGAAGGACTTGAATCAGTAATGAAAGAGATGCTTCAGAGACAAAACAGCTTGAATGGAGAGAAACCAAAGGATGCAGAAAGCAGAGAGACAGATTTTGTTGATGGACTGACAACAACTTTAGAGATATCCCGCCGCAGGGGGTCTGCAGACAAAAACAAATACAGCACGATTGGCTACCAGGCAAGTAGAACATTTCAATAACAGCTGTTTACCCTCATATCTGTCACTTTTCTGTCTAGTTTTAAGGAATATGTGTATGTCTCTTTATTTTGCATATCTTACTAAAAATTTTAAAATATGTGACTGTTGAATTTAAAAAGAAATTTTTATTTAATATTTTTCCCATTGTTGTTGTTTTCTTCTGAGCTATATGTTAAAACGTTTCAGAAAACATATTATTTAAACCAAACTATTTAAATTCTCTTATATAAACTTTTAAATTTGGCTTTATTATATAATAAATATTTAGCCTGCATAATTAAACGGTACACTGATTTTAATCAAAAAGTAAATAAAAACATTGGAGCTCTGTTAAGACCTGAAATGTTTGTTAGAGAGCATGAGTGTAGATAAAGTAGAGATAAAATCGTGAAGACATTTTAAACAATTTAGGTTATAAAAGGATATCCCAAGCTGGAGAATCTACTAAACCACCCTGGCCTTTTCAAATTAAAAGATTGTGTCTCATCTGTAATCCCATCTGATGGGCTAAACAATTAAACCGTTAATGAGTAAAGCTAGTAAGGAGCCCATTATAAATGTAGAGGAGCTGCAGAGATTTACGGTTCATGTAGGAGATCTATAGTAGCACAGTTTAAAAAAAAATTGGCCTTAATTGGATATAAGGAATAAAAAAGCCATTAGTAAAACAAAAAAAACAAAAAAATGAATAAGTACTGAAGATGCCTGGTGCCTGGTCAGAATAAGTACTGATGATGCCAGGCAGAGGTTGCCCTTTAAGCTGAGCAAGAACCCCCAAGATATAGCCAGAGCAAGGAAGTTTAGATCCAAGAGTATTCGTGTGTTAGAATGGTCTAGTCAAAGTTCAGATTCAAAATTATATGAGAATCTATGGCAAGACCTGAGAGTTTTCAAAAGAGGAATAAGCAGAAATGTTGGTACCTTCAGGCATAACACCGGAGATCATAAAAAGATCTGCAACTGGAGCCAAATGTGAATGACTATTTTGCATTGAATCAAGGGGAAAAATGCATACCACAGTTTTAAATTATTTTGTGTAAAATGTATCTTATTTAGAGTCATACACTTTACGTTACTCTGTCATGTACAAATCTAATAAGAGACACTGATGCGACAATATAAAAAGTATAAAAGGTGCTTTTTGCAAGGTTGTTTCTTTCATTTTTGTTGATATAATCTTTGAAAAATAAAGCTTTGATCTTCTGCTTTTAACTGACTAAATTGTACTATTATTTTTCTTTTTTCTTAGAGGAAACCCAGGCAAAAGGTTGTGACTGACTTTGCAACTCTGAGTAAAGGATCATCTTCGGGATCCAAATCCAGAACGCCGCTTAAGCAGGTGTTTAGTGTGGTCAACCAGGGAGTGTCTGAGAAAACGTCTGAGGTATTGTTTTGTCTCTTGTTCATCAGGTTGCATTCTCACAAACCATGAGGCAGATACAGACCTGCTCCAACCGTGTCCGCCCACATAAACACTTTAATCAGTGCAGCGTTACTTGTTCTGCTCTACTGGCTGTCTTTATATGTGACCACAAGAATTCATAACATTGTTTCCTTTACGAGAACTGCTGATATGCTTAATCATTAACTTCAAATAATTCTCTCTGCTTTCATTTTTTTACCATCAACATGGCAGGAAAGAGGTCAGTTGGATTTGTTGGTCAAAGACCTGGAGGCTTTTGCTGTTCCTGCCAGCCTGAAATGGATTTGGAAAGAAGAAAGCCAGGGTACAACACTGGAAAACAGCTGGACAGACTTAGTGAAGTCACACTCAGTAAGAGACAGATAGTATTCTTGCTTTATTTCATTAGTTTGTCTTCTTTTTTTATTTTTATATAAACCTCATTGAACCTTTTCAGAAAATTATGTTTCAGTTCCACCTGTCTGCCTGAACCAGTCTTGCCGAAGTTTGTTTTAATGTGTAGTAGCAAATGGTGTCCTGCATATCGTTGTAAAAATGCCTCCTTTGTTTGCTCATTGCATACATTCCTCAAATATAATTAGCTGCTGCTTTTGTTGACTCTGCTTCAGCAAATGGCAAAAAAGCAGAGACACCAACAGGCGGCGCTGTGGGAGTTTGTACAGACTGAGCTTATCTACATCAACAAGCTGAAGATCATCAAAGACGTAGGGTGTCACTCTACAGATTCTTATTACAGTGACAGTTTTTCTGCAGTTTGCATAATGTGTTTCTACCTTTCACAGGTGGTTATTGCTGCTCTGGTCAACCTGAACCAGCATGACTTACTCCAGGAGGTTAGTCTGCAAAGCATACAGCTGGAGTTCACTGGAATATTACACATAGATAAAATATGCAGGCTTATTTTCCATGGTTCGGTTTAGCAGTAATATGCACAGGTTGAGAGAGCAGAAAAAACAAACACAAAAACAACAGTGAGTGGAACATTTAGCCCCACAATGTTTCCACTGAGGAGATGGAAATATAACAAGGCCAGTTAGTTTAAATGTAACTCTGTTCTTTATTTCTGTTTTTTTTTATTTTTTATTTCACTTCCTCTAGGTGACCCCCGAGCTGTTGTTCTCCAACCTACCCTCCATCCTGCAAGCTCATCAGCTGTTCTGGCAGGAGGTGGTTTATCCCATGTTACATCAAGTACGAACAACAGGCAAACCTTTTGACCCCATGAGGTTGGAAGCCGGTTGCCTGCAGGTAAGAGCTCATTGTCTGCAGGTCTGCAATGTAAACACAGTGATGTTTCTGCCCATAAGTTATATAATGACCTATTTCCACACCTTAATGTTTCCACTGTGGGTGTTTTAACAGACTTGTACTTGCTGTTGTTGCTGAAATGGGCGTGATGGTTCTAAATAAGTTGGAATCATCTGATCAAAGAGGTTTATGTTTCAGTTATGGTTAAAAAAAAAGCAGTCTATCGAAAGAGATGGTTTACATTTGACTCTGTGGAATTGTTCCTAGGAGTAACTCACCTGCACCTTTTCAGAGGAGGTCATGTTTGAAAGGAGATTTATGCCGTCTTAAACCCCTTTACTGTCACAAAAGACTAGCATTTTACACAAGCTCTATTCAGTTCCACCAGTCCATTGTATCTAATCAGCAGGCAGGAGACTAAAGACCAGTTTTATATATTCAGCTAAGAACTCACAAATTTCTACATATAAACCAAAAATATCTACTTTAATGTCCCTTTTTGAATTGAAAAAATATCTATGTAAGATTGAGTCAAACAGTAAGTAAAACAAGTAAATAAACACTTAAATGAATCATTATATAAATTTTATTTAAGAAAGAAACATATTTGTATTTTCGAATATATATTGTAATAAAAGGTGTTGGAATCATTTGGTTAAGTTGCATACAGATAAGAGCTGTGTGCTATGCAAACATCCCTGTATTAAATGCATATCTAAATCAAGATTATACTCTCTTCCTTAGAAACATATAAACAATGTGTGCTTCATGAGCAAATCGTTACTGGAAGAGTACCTCAATGTGTTGATTATAATGATGTAAAGAGGCTTGCTGACATTAGAGTGTAGATATGAGTTGTCTTCTGCTTTTGCACCAGTTCCATGAACGCTTCTCTGTCTACCATCAATACTGCTGGGAAGAGGAAAGCAACCTGGAGTTCACACGCAGGCAACTGGAGAGCAACCCCCATTTCATTGCTTTTGTGCAGGTACGGTGGAGCAGCAGCAGTGCCTCTATTTAACTTTTACTTTCTGAGAGAAAAAAAAATCATACCTTACAGTTATTATTAAACTGATATCCATTTTCAAATCTGGTAATTGTGGCGCTGTGGTTTATGATGTTTTTGTAACCCTGTGGGTGGCTTGACATCAGAGCTTTGCACCTAGCAAACCACTTTTCCCACCAACGTCTTCTCCAAATGATTCAGATATCTAGATCTCCAGTGTGAATGCTGTGTATATACAGTAGGTTGGAAAATAGACTACATGAAAATATCTACTGTTTATAGAGAGAAGAAAAAACTGTGGGGGCTATAGTGGTTTTGTTTTGTTTTTTTATCTGTTTTGTACAACATCACCTCTCAAATGAAGTTATGACACCCTTTGTTTACAAATAAATCCCCACTTTAACAGGAAATAGTAACCAGTAGGTGTTAAAGGGTGGTCCAAATGACAAAAATCAGGGGCTGGTGATATTTTGAAAGCCAAACATACAGTTATTTCTTAATATGTTTTAGCCTTGTTGATAAGTTAATCCATCTAAGCTAATACCATTTCAAAGTGAACCTCACATATTACAGATTAATTACAGATAGAATGGTACATTTCAAGTTTTTATTAATTTTGATTTTACATAGGATACATTAAAAGTATCTTTCTGTTCAGCGTTACAAAACAGTAATTAGAAATAAAAAATGTTGCTGCTGCAAAAAGCAAAGATTCTAATAAATGTTTGGTTTGGCCCAACCTCCCTTTTCCACTGTAGCAGCATGATAATTTTTAATGTTCCTACATTTTAGAGTTTAGTTATAGCTAGGAGTCTCTGTTTATTGCTGGTTATTCTCCTTCTGCATAAGTTTCTGCCCCAGTGCAGCCTGGCATGGAGGCCATCTGCCTCTGATTCTGTTAAAACTTAGAAGAATCCGAGGTTGCTTTAAAAGCAGCCCTAAGTTCATCTACGTTTTTGAGTCGGATTATAACACTGAAAGTTCTACATGGGGCTCAGGTCAGAAAACATTCTTGTCACACAATCAAGCACAGTCAGCTACAGTTGTTAAAACAAGAGTTGGTACTTTCTGCAGTGTGGGAAGGTGTCAAAGCCTGCTGGAAAATTAAATCAGCCCCTCCATAAAGTTTGTCAGCAGAAGGAACCATCAGGAGCTCTTATATGTCATATATTTAAAGACTGTGAGGACTGTGGACCTTATAAGAATCAGGAAATCAAACACCAGCAGATGACATCGCACCTGAGTCGTCGCTGTCTGTGGAAACTCCATCCTGGACCACAAGCAATGTGAATTCTTTAGCATCCTCAATCTTCTTCCAGACTCTGGGACATTATGATATGAACATTTTATTTTCATCTGAAAGAATGCAACATTGTAATTTATGAAACATTTGAGACATTTTGCTCCAAAAAAAAACAGATTGGAGATTAAAAAGTCTGATGCAATCGGTTTAACCAGGGCTGTAGGAAGGGTTGTAAAAGAAATAAAACTAATACGGGGGAAAATACAGTCCTCACTGCAAACAGAGAGATAAGAATGTGTCTCTGTGCTTCGATTTTATTATTAGAGTAAGGACCATTCATACCATATTTTACCAGTTTTCAATTCCTTTTTTTGCAAACTGTTTGGTTTAGGTGTGAACAACCTAAACTCAATTTAGGGTGAGGTATTGATATGCAATGATTAGGTCTGAGTTATAGTCCTGGTTAGGGTATAGAAAGGGTTAAAAATAATGGAAAATTGATAAAAGCACACAGACCTCACTACATATAGCATAATGAGAATAAATGTATTGTGTTCTTGTGTATCATACATAGTAGGACCCTTTTTATGGAAAACATAGGCCATTGTGGGGACCCCATAAAGGGAATTGCTATTTTAGGATCAGGGGTCACATTTAGGACTAAGGTGTGTATTTTTAGGTTTAGGGTAAGGGTCACGTTTAGGCTGTATAAATTAGTGGAAGACAATGGAAATATTAAAGATAGTGAGACAAGTTTGGTGTTTTTGAACACCCAGCTGCAGTGATACATTTTTGCTCAGGTGAGCAGTATTTCACATGATTATGAAGCCCAAACCATATTTCTATATTTATCAGATTGTGTGCTGTTTTTTTAATATTCAAGCTTGGTGGAAAAACTAATTGTGTGGTTAAAAATGAACAGAAATAAACCCCACAGAGATTAAAGCTAGGTGAATTAATAATACACATTTTATTACTGAGATGCACCAACACACCCCAAAGAAAAGCCCATTTAAATGAAATGGAATTAAATTCAGGGCTACACAAAACAGAATTTTTTTAAAGATTATTTGGGAGATTATACATACATTATATACAAGTTAACTATTTAGCATACCTAAGATAATATTGTTGTGTTTTTTAACTTATACAGTGGGTGGAAAAACACCCTCAGTGTGAGCGAATGAGGCTTGGAGATATGCAAGCCAAACCACATCAGAGGATCACAAAGTATCCCCTGCTGCTCAGAGCTGTGCTCAAAGAAACCCAGGAGCATCGTGTTCAGCAGGCCCTCAAAGCAATGGTGAGGATTTGATTCAGTGCTGGTACTCATCTTACTTAAAGTGTAGTATTTATCTCTGACTGCATGTCTTTTTTCCTGCTTCTTCCCAGTTAACCACTGTAAACAGTTTTTTAGAAAGTATCAATGGCTTCATGCAGCTGAAAGATGAGGAGCTGGCTCTCTCTATCTCTGCAGAGAGGCTGGAGGGATATGAGGTGGAGGGAATTAATGAAGAAGTCGACAAGGTAAAAAAGATTTTGAGGATTTTACACAAAATTGTATTAATTCATTTGTCATTTTGTTCAATTTAAATAGCTTTATGAGTACGTTTTTGTCAACTGTTAAATGCTTTTGGACTTAATGAAATCTCTTTATTTATTTTGGACATTGGGCAAAAACTCTACGATTAATTTATTGCAATGTTTAGTTGTTTTTTTACGTTTTTTTCTTCACATATGCAATCACAACTATGACCAAAATACCTATGTGTATATTAAGTATATTTTTGTACAAAGATTATAGGATAATATATCACAAGTTCCATGCCTTTACAATACATAACAAACATAACTATGAAATGTTATTTAGACCTTTCTTACCCTAAATGCTCACATTTTATGCATATTTTTATTGACTGAGACAGAAGTCTCAAAAAGGTAGTTGGAACTTTATACTGAAACAAAAGTAAGAAAATATCCAGGGAAATATTGATCATGTGTAATACTGAGACAATGACATCACTTCTTCATAGTGTCCAACCCCATTAGCCACCATGTTTAAACTTTATCAATAGTGCAGTATGTTCACAGTTATGTGGAATAAATTAATGACCAGCTAAGCAGTCTTGGGAAATGTAAAAACATTAATTAACCTCAAACATCAGTACTTAAGAGAGTAAAAGCAATCTAAACAATGCAACAATGCAAATTGTTTTAATATCCCAGGATAAGAATGGTAAATAAACAATCCTCTCTGACATTTTAGCTGAGCTAGGATGGAAATGTTAAAAAAGGTCAAACCAGTACCTATTTGAAATTACATAATCATTTATCCCTGCTATTAGTTATTTTATACTCTATTTGGGAATGTTTGATATACTATTCTAAAATTGATTGTTTAGGTTTCATTATCTAACATTATCATTGTCTACTGGGAGGAAATTTTGTTATATGTCTCCTGTAAATATCTACCCATTGAGGTAACCTATAGTTACTTTGTATTGATCAGGGGTCATGATCCGTTCCATAAGATGAAAGTCCATTGGCTAAAATGGGCATTATAAACCCATTTATTGGGAATAAGTTACAACTCTGAAGTCTTACTAAGATAATACTAAGTGAAGACTATCAGCATATTAAATGGTGAATAGATTGAAGTCAAACTAAATACTAAACCTAGATTTGTTGCTGCGGTTGAAAGGTCGTCCGGGACGTCTGTCGGTTTGACCTGAGATATCCCATTAGAGGAGTGGGTCCTAATGTGGTACGTAAGCTGCTCCTGGAGGACAACCTGAAGCTACGAGGCAGAAAGGACAGCAAGGTAAGTTAATTTCATCCTGAAAGGCTCTGTCATTTTTAATCATGGTTCTACTTAAATATCGGTCAGGATTAAAAAAAATATGCATTTATTTGTTCATGATTTGCAGGTGGAAGTGGTGGCTCTTCTGTTTTCAGATGTTCTCCTTCTGACTAAAGTGCAGAAAAAAGCGGAGCGACTGAAAGTCGTTCGACCACCTCTGGCACTAGACAGAACACACTGCGACTCATTGAAAGATGGCTGTGGGTACATCTATAAATAAGCCTAATATATTCTGAAGTTCTGCATGAATCTTATAAAAAAGCGTCTCTGAGCCACAAAGCCCTCATTTTTCCTCTTCTCTCAGACTCCTTCGTTCTGGTGGAGGTGGGTGAGCTGCAGTGCATGATGAATGTTTTCATCCTTGTGACCAGCACCCCAGAATGTTGTTCCAAATGGGTCAAAAGCATCCAGAGTGCGAAGGTAAAATCCAACCTCTTTATCAAGCTTTTGAAATTTGCTGTGGTCTAATTCAGTATTCACATTGTTTCTTTAGAAATTATCATGTTTTTAAATATCTAAAGAATCACTACATTTAACACATAACTCTTTAACTACAATATATTCTGAAGACATTTCTTTAAACATTTTAGATAACTGAAAACAAAACAAAAGCAAAATTGCAAATATTATATACCCAATCAAAAGCTCTCTGCTGTTAGTCATTTTCTTATATAAAAAATTAATATAGAAATTAGATTTTTTTTACTAATTCCCTTCAATGTACTTCATGCACAATCTTTTTTCTTGTTACATTTCTGCCCGAAAGTTATTATAACATCACACTGAAATATGTAAACCAGCAGCTGTTTGCATAAAACCTCTGCTGATTTGTATATTTTTTTAAATTTGTAAATTTCTCCTATTTATAACAAAAATACAGCAATTAATGATAAATTAAGTCTCAAAAATTCAATTCTGTCATGCCTACAATTAGTCATAACAGATTCTAGCAGCTTTTCCTAGAACCCTAACTCACTCCTTATGGGAAAAGGCATCGCAAAGTGTAACAAACAACTTCTTAAACTCCAGAAAAAGTTAAATTTAATTAAAATTAGAATTTTATTTGATAAAAAATACAATAACAAAAAAAATGTAAATCACTCAAAGAATAAACATCAGAACTAAAAATCCAACTAATGTAGAAAATTCACCTATAAGTTAAAAAAGGGCTTTAGATTCAGTAACTGTGCAGTGAGCCAGGTGTCAATCACACAACATTGATGGTTTCAGGTTGTGATAAGAGTTTACAGCTCTTATGGCCTATAGATAGAAGCCGTTTCCAAGTCTTTTTTTTTTTCTCCTCTTTTGGGGGGGGTATTATTTTCCTGGTTCTATTCATACATAGAGAGTAAGAAGGAAGATCCAGGATGCAGGATGGACATGAAGCAGCCACAGATCTGTTCTGCTGCTCTCAACATCCTCTGTGGGGTTCACAAAGCAGAGTCTCTGCTGGGATGTTTTGATTATAGCCAGGATATTTGGCCATCTAGGTTAAGTTGTAGGCGGTTGTAAAGGAAGAAAATATTCTAACATAGTTAACTTTGGAAAAAGGTTGGCTTCTCATTCTTCCCTCTCCAGGTCCACCCGGCGAGCTGCGTTTGGTAATAAAAACCAACATTGCGTGTTGACGTCACAGAATTACAGAGTTTAATCCAATATAAGACAATGCATAAACTTAGAAATAATACAATGCACAAACCTACACCAGAAACTGCAGAACAACAGAGACATACATTCCATTACCTGACATAGGAGGAAAGAAAGCAAAGAGTACAGAGATATCTTTGGAGAGTTGCAAGGGCAAATCTGATCTATAACTTCTATATAGAAAGCTTTATCCTCTTGTATCTAATCCATTCAAAAAGGGCTGGCCCTCCGTCCTCCAACCAGACGCCATCTCTGACACTGCCTAGAGCTTCCCCTTATTTACTGCAAACATCTGGGGTCATTTGCTTCTTTGTTTTAACAAGAAAAGGCGGAAAGCTTGTCCTGGCATCTAGAATTCTTAAAGTCATAAAACACAAGATAAGCTTCCACAGAATTGATGTGGAATGCGGGGGCCTTTTTCCTGATTCAGTTTCACACCATCTCTGGTTGTTTATTCTGGAAGACTTTTGACCTTCTGTAAACCAAGCAGAAATCTCTCCTGCAGGCTTAAATAATGTTCGCCCCCAGGAGATACTCATTTTATGGCCTGGTGCTCTAAATACTTACCCATTAGTAGTTTTAAATCATTAACACAGTCTTGTTCAAAATTAAGAAATATGTTCAAGTGAGAGTGTTTACACATGCCATAAGATTAACTGTATTAAAAGCTAAAAATAATAATTTTTCTTTAACACGGTGTAATGTGAATCCCACGCAGCTTGAAGGTTAAGTCAGGTGACTGTGACAGCTACTTTTCCAGGACGTTTTCCAAAGCTAATTCTTAAAGAACAGATCCTATCCTATTTACATTCCAGTGATGCTGGACCTTCAGCCTCCTTATAGAGTAAAATACAGGAGGGCATTATAAACAGTCTAGGTCAAAATGATACAGCTTTTACATTTGTTTAAAAAAAAAAAAGGTATATTCAAGGTCAGTTTTTATGTGTGTCTACACACTCTAAAAAGAAAATGCTTTCCCAGATTAAATGAATTGCTTCAATTGGTTAATAGTAATTGAATTAAGTTGATCCATCTGAATTTTTTAGGTTTAGAAGTTCAAAACTTGAATCAATTCTAACTCATTATGCTGATGTTGTGTGATTGATTTCATAAAAACAAAGGCAAATTGTTCTCATTTTATGAGTGAAACTCAATTAAAGGGTGATGAGGACAATGGGTGACAGTATTTAAGCAAAAACCAAAAAACATTGGATTTTTCACAGGCTGTATTTAAGGCCACTTAGCCTCTGTATTTTTTACTAGAGGTTGCTGAACCCTTTGGTGTGAAGATCATTGTAAAACAAGATAATCTTAATAAATTAAACTGAGATTATTACACTTAACACACACCGGACAGATAGAGTAAAATTAGTCTGAGTGTGGATGGGTGGGGGTTGGTGTGTGTCAGGGGGACTTTGGCTTGCATCCAGTCCCTTACATCCTTTACCAAAATCATATTAAAAAACTATGACATGTTTAAAATAACTAACTAAGAAAATTTTAAGCTGTTGTTTGTTTGCTGTTGTTTTATTAGGAGGAACTGTTGAGCCTGAGAAAGAAAGAAGACAACAGGCTGGACAACGTTAGGTTACATCAGCTAGAGTCCAAACCTGCTCAAGACATCAAGAATGATGACATGGAGATAGAGGAACAGCCCCTCAAGCCATTAAAGCAGAGAAGCCTTATGGAGGAACTTAACGATAAAATAAACAAGCAGTCGTTTAATGGATCCGAGGAAGCAAATCAGAATCATCCATCAGATCAGTTGTCTCCAAACAACTCTGGACTGCCACCTATGTACCCAAAGCAGGGCAGCAACACACAGAATTCAGTGCGTAAGAACATCCCGACTCGCCAGCCAGCATTTAAACAGGAATGGATAGAAATGGGAACAAGGAAAGGACTTGCTAGGAAACCATTGGAGGAAGATGGGAAAATAGTTGAGACTCAGTTGACAAACAATCAAAGTACAATGTGGAAACACAGGGGGGATTTGGTTTCTAAATCAGTCAATCATTTCACTCCAATTGAAACTGCAGGTCAAGGAAGATACAACCCTCCTAGACAACCAAGACGTCTAATAGATGAACTTCCAGATGTTGACTACCCCACAGATGATGAGACTACTTTACAAGTTCCTCATGAACCAATAATCATGTCTAGGCAGCAGTTTGTAAGACCACCTGTAGAAACACAAATATTAAAAAGAAGCAACTCAGATATGCAACTCACGACACAGGACACCAGGAAAAACTCTGTCTCCAGTCATATTGGAGATGCAGAAACTCCCCCTGACACTGCTGGCTTCCCCCAAAACTTAAAATCTCCTGGGTTACGGAAGAGAAGGCCAGGCAGCACCAATCAGGGCCCTCCGACTCCAACATCCAAGCAGTTCCTGCAAGAGCCAACTCAATCTCTGGCTGCTCCAAGCAGTTATTTGAATTCAGACACTGAAAACAGCTTAAACCCAAAGAGAAACTCTCTTCCTGCTAGGTTTAACTTAGACCCCCAACGAGGGGTCAGTCCAATCCCCCAGAGGTCCACCAAAAGCAAGACTCCAAATCCACCCTTGAAGTACTCATCGGACATTGAAGCCTTTTCTGAATCTGAGCTCCCAGAAATGAAATTCCAGAACATAAAGCCCAAATTTAAAGACTTCAGGAGTTCCTCCAGTCCTAACATGCTAAGCAGAGAAGGGCAGGGACCTCGTAGACCCTCTGATAGCTTGTACACATCAACCAAAGAGGAAGAACGTCCCAGCTCAGGATACAACCCAAATGAGCACACTTCACGTGTTGAGGGAGTTTTGGAAAGAGCCAAAGAAAGGGCAAAAGATAAAGGTGGAATAAAAAAAGACAAGCAAGCAAATGCAACCAGTCCAAAGTCAAGATACCTGCGTCCTTCCTCCCCATTTTACAATGCCCCGTCGCCCACACCCAGCGAGGGAGGTAATGAAACAGATGTGGAGGAGGTGGCACTGATCAGACCCACAGTCCTCACAGTGAGTGCAGGATGGAAGGAACAGCTGGTGGACGGAGAAGAGGATGACAAAAGCAGCAGGTTAGTAGGAAGTACACCCCTGTTTCTACATACATTCAACATCATGTTGTTATGGCAACAAGAGGAACTTTAAACAAACATGCATACAGGAGGCATCCGAAACAATGCACATTTCTTTTTTTTACCTTTTTAAAATCAAGTGGGAATGCTTATGCATTCCCACTTATTGTTGTTCACTTCAAATTTTTCTGACTCTAACTAGTCCCGCAGTTTTCAACCGATTTCAACAATTTTGGTATCAAAACGTTCAGCTTGTTCAGGAGAATTGTGCTATGTCTTTTGGTAAAGATATTTTTTGTAGGTTTCGCGATATTCTGCTTTTTCTGCGTTTTTTTTGTCCCATTCAAATGCATGTAGAATTCTTAGATTTCAGCAAAATTCAGATAAAACTTTATCATGTTCGACCTTTAACTACTTCAGCATACTTTCAGCTAGAAACACCATTCAACTTTTAAAATGTTTCCGTATCTTTCTGCTATTACTGTTTAACTCAGCTTTTTGCTAACTTTTACAGTTTTGCTTCAGTGAAGCTTCAAACTTTAAAAGAAAATTTTAGGATTTTCAGATTTATAATGGAAGTCTATGGACGGAATTCTTCAACTGCTAGAGTGCCTGCTCTAGCTTTTGAGCTGTTCTGGTTTTTCCGAACAAATTGTTCTCAGTCCCTCATTTTTAACTCAATTGAAATAAATTATACATCAAAACGTAGGGATTTTTATCAGGATTCAGGAAATATAACCCTAATTTATGTGGCATTTACAGTTTTCCGACAGTTTGGCCCAGACCATGAAGAAGTCCACACTCCCCAATAGAAATCCAATGAGAGATTTTCCAAAAATCACAGACAAAATCCAAAACGATACATATTTTCGTATCGCTCCCATTTATTAACTATTTGATGTACTAACATGAAACTTGGTATACAACATCTTCAGAACCTTCTAGCACTCACATTGAAGGAATTTCTTCAATATCATTTATGGTTTAGCTGTTTAGCTGACTTGTTCGGGCATAGGAAAACGCTGATTCTGAGAAAAATCCTCAAACTCAGAAAATGCAAATTTTTACATCGTCACCGTGGCCAAATAATTTTTAGTAGAAACATGAAAGTTTGCACAGTCGAAGCCGAAGGATGGCTGACGCCAACGGTGAAAGAATTTTTTGAATACCTTTTACGGTTTTGGCTCACCGCTCGTTTGTTCACAGGGGAAGTTTTGCTTTAGGGAGTTCTGTTCTACCATGGAACTCCATGTTATTTAATGAGACCAGCAGGATTTACAAACCTTTATATTTCTCCTTCCCATTAAGGTTGTGAATGAGCTACAGCCATGAAAGTTACCCCAATCGGAGACAAACGATAGCTGTCGCTTAGACTGAAAGAATTTTTTAGATACCATTTACGGTTTGTCTTCAGCACTCGTTTGTTCTGAGCTGATATTCCCATTCAAAAAAGCCTGAGAGGAAAGGAACGAAAGTGATGCGCTTTTCTCTCTTTCACTGACAGGCTCGTTAAGCGTTGTCAAGGTAACCGAGCTTCAAAGGGATTTTACCTCTGCCACTTTAAACAGCACATTTTAATCTAATGGAGGGAGACAACACTGATTTAACATTAGGAAGTGGATACAATATGACTACTGGCCATGACCCTTCCCTTCACACGCAACCCTGATAGACTTTCAAAATAAGACTCCGGGGACCCTTCAAAATAAAAGCCCCTACATTAAACTCATATTTTTTCCCAGCATATGGCTAAACATTATGACCCAAACTCAACCACTTTTTTAAAAATGAGACTCTAGGGGGTTTTCAAAACACACCCCACCGAAAATTTCAAAATAAAAGCCTCCCATTGCCGCTTTACCTACTGCCCTAATAACAAGGGAAAAGAGTGATTTAACAATTGGAAAGTCATCAAGTATCACTGCTGGGTCTGACCCTTTTCTCAACACACAACCCTGCTAGACTTTCAAAATAAGACTCCAGTGACCCTACACAATAAAAGCCTCTATATTATACTCGCATATTAATTGATGCAAATGGCTCAGCATTATGACCCAAACTCTACCAGCTTGTTTCTATTAGACTCTAGGGACCTTTTCAAAACATACCCCAGATGAAATTTCACAATAAAAGTCTCCCATTTACGCTCTAATACAGCATCTATTCACCCAATAACATGGAAAACCAGTGATTTCATATTTAGGATCTATATCACTGCTGGGCATGACCCTTCCCTTGACACACATCCATGTTAGACTTTCGAAATAAGACTAAAGGGACTCTACAAAATAAAAGCCTCTTCCTTACATACACTCATTCATTGTGCCATATGGCTCGTAGCTATGACCCAAACTCAACCAATTTCTTCAAATTACACTACCAAGGCCTGTTGACCACACACCTCAGTGCATATTTCTTAATCAGGTTCTAAGATTTACACTGTAATAAAGCATGTGCTAACCTCGTAACATGCAGCCTAAGCCTGCCAATGGTGCTGTCATCAACACAGCGGCTCGTAACATGCAGGTTAATTTTTTTTGATAAATTCAGCTCCTTAAGTGGTATTAGCTCTCTTTCTATAAGCTTCTCTCTCTGTCCTTCCTCTGCTTCTCATGGTCAGTCTTGCACATAGGTTTGTATATTTTCAATCCTCTAAGGATGACACTGTTTTCTTTATGCTGATCAACCAACACATTTTAAATAATTTCAAATTGTTGTGCCACGTCTTGACATTTCCACAATTTCAAAATTTTGATACTTATTTAATACCATCTTCCTCAACATTTTACTTCCCATCCTTGAGCTACTCATATTTTCTTCAACCAGATAAGATTCAATTTTTTCTTTGTAATTTATTTTCTGATTCAGCTAATTTAATATTTTTCAGCCTATGCTGTGAACCTTGGCTTAATTTTGCTCTTTTTCTGGACAGGAATTAAGCTTTTCGGTTTGCTGCTAATTCATAACATGCCTGACATGTTTCTGGGCAGTAGGTGGCCCCACCTCAAAATTTCTTTAGAAATTTTTCTAGAAACTTGATAGACATTATATTAAGACCCTTCTAGTGCACACATTAATGACATTTTTGATATTATGTATGGTTTGGCTTTGCAGCTTTTAAGATGAGTTTCTTTCTGCCATTTTAGTGCCAAATAATTCTACCCTAAAAAAATCTTCAGATGATTCAATTGTTTTCTGCAGTTTGAAGTTTCTGATGACTTCCTATCACATTTTCATATGTTATGCAGTTAATTTCAGCTTTTTACATTCAGCAAAAAAAGCATTCCCACTTTGCTGTTTCTCCGAAACAGCTTTTTCTAGTTTTAAATACACTTTAATGTGCTTTTGGGGATTTTGTGTGAGACAATAATACATAGCAAATTATAACTGGATTTAAATACGAAGCAAAATATTCATAAGTTTTTAAAGGTACGTGGTCTTATAAGACATACTAATCCAAACTTAAAGTATTCATTGTCCAAAAGTTAGAAAAATTGCATACACCATAAAATTAAAATATATAAAACCAATCTAAACGCTCACCTGCAAGAAACTTTTCTTTTAAATCACAGCAGCAGCCCAACATTTACTTAGGCAAGACAAGTTTATTTGTATAGCAAAATTCCATACAAAAATAATCTAAAGTGCTTTACTTAAAGTGCCACCTAATTTCGGCCCTCTACGCAGCCACATTTTACCATAAATGGTCACTGCGAAGGACCTCATGAATGTTCAGATGGATTTTAAAGGGTAGAGCAACAAGTTTAAGTTTGGCTGTCATCCCAACCTCTAATTGTACTGTGGGCTCGCTGGTTGCCAGGTTTGCTAACTGGTGGCTGGCAAACATTTTATTTAACGGTCCAGAAGGAAGGTGGTGACCTGTCCATGGCTTCTAAGCACCTTTGTCTCTTTAGGTTGGCACCAATGCTCAGAAACTTGACCTATGTTCACCCTTATTTTACTTTGGGTTCGCTTGAATCTCAGACTTCCATTGTAGAGAAACAGAAATTCCTCAGAGCAGTAATTTGGCCATTAATTATGTGGCAACACCTGCGCTCCTACTACTTTTTTATAAATGGTGCAGAATTCTTTAGTTTCAATGTTGGCATTGTAACCAGAAGTGAATTTTTATGTATTTGGGACCTTTCAAAATGTATCAAAACAAGACATACGGTACTTTTATTCTGCACCATTCTAGCTGACATGTAAATGTATTATTTTAGAAAAAATACTCTTATACTCATATTTTGATGAAAAAACTTGTAACTATGACCCTCAATGCTATTTTCAAAGGAATCCATTTTGAAGACAGTGAAAAAAATTAATCCGAGGCAGAAATAGATGTCTTGGTAAGTGAGGTGAAAATTCGGAATAAAATAAATGTCGTAGCCAAAATAGTGATATGAAAAGTAAAAGGAGGTACTTTGAATGGCAAGACATTCACAATCTGTTTATATTATATTATATAACAGTATTACACTAAGAGTGGGCTAAGATATCACAGAGCAATAGATAATTTCACATAAATATTTGACTGAATACACCTCAAACTTCTAGTAAGATTATTTTACAAAGATGATTTCTCTACATAGTGAAGAAGATCAAGGACAAAAAAAAATAAACAACAACAACAAAGAAAAACCCCTATGAGTTACTGCAACATTTGATATCTCTTTGGGATTAAGAAAGTAATTTTGAACTGAACTGAATTGAATTTCAGAGTAGATAAAGAGACTCAGGGTTGATTTGCATGTTAGACATACTTATGTTGATCTCTGGGCCACCAAACATATATTTTATATGTTTTCAAAGAATTGTTTAACCTTTATCCAGTGTTTCAGTCTGGGAAAAAAAAAAGTTATTTCCACAAACCAAAGTCAGAAACTGCAAGAACAGGAATGATCCCCTTTCTAAACTAAGACAACCAGGGTGCGTAAAAGACTGAAACAAGACAATCCAAAAATCACAAACTTATTGCTAGATGAGAGAAAAAAATAGCAGAAAAACATTATTGGGTGTTTTTTTTTCTTACAAAGCCAATATGGCTTTTATTTTGTTTTTAAAAATATATAAAATATGTAATATCTGTGGCTTTTAGATAACCTTTAAATGAGGAAGAGCAACTTCTGCAACAAAACTATGCAAAGACTAAAAATTATATTCTATATTTGTTTTGAAGATCTCAAAATTTTATATCATTTGGGCTTTTGCATCTTTGCATTTTATATCTTACTTTTATCTGCATTTTACTTTTGTATCAAATGTGTCAGAAAATCCATACTAAAGTTTAGATTTAGAAAACATAAAAGTGCTAAAAGGCCCACACCAACGATTATATGTTGTATATTTGGAAAATAATCAGTATTCTTATTATTTTTTATTCTTCATCTACATAATCTGTTACCAAGAAGAAGCGGGAGTTACGCATTTAACACCATGACTTAGAATAGAAATAATCAAGGGCATCAATGTTTCCGTTGACCTCAGTGCTTACAGACACACTGTGGTGTTTTAGCATCAGGGACAGAAAGACTTGCATAACTCTGTATTATCTGATGCAGGCTGCACTACTGCATGCTCAGTACGCTAACCCTGATTTTGATAGAGCCAACTTGATTCTGTATGACATAAATTCAGATTCTGTGTTGGTTTAATTTGTTGTGCAGTTTTTCATATATATTATATCTTTGTAATAGTAACAGTGCAAAATTAAAATATGTCTCAATAATCTGTCCATAGATATAGAGACTCCGTATGTATGACCCTGCCTTACCTCAAATGCCTCATTTTAAGGCCAAAACCAGCCTGGATACCTCAACAACACATTGGGACTAGATATACATACAAGCTTGAGAGAACTTGTGCATGGTTTAGAAAATAAAAACATATATAAGTAAATTCCTTTATTATATTAATCATGCATCTTCCTTTTTAATACTACCCTGGGCAAACATATATGTGGCTCCAGGGGCGTCTCTAGGTTTAAGAGACAAGGGTGGCTCAGCCCCCAGAAGATAATGAACGAATTTTTTCAGTGCACCTGCTAAGGCGTTGTCTAAGACAAGCGTGTAACTTTGTGTTGAAAGTTGGTGGGGACGGCTCATAAGGAAAGGGAGCTACCTGCGCGAAGCCTTTTTTTTTTTGTTGGAAAGGATAAAGCCAAAAAAATGCGAATAACATTTATCAATTTAATGCTTATAGTTGAAAACATAACTGTTACAATATTCACTTATATATTTTGTGCAAAAAATATCACATAAATCTAAACAGACAGTACAAATCAAAGAAATCAAATAAATATATCAATTTTGTAGAACATTTATTGATGGTCAATTTTGGGTCATTTTTTAAAATTAATTTACTTTTAAACCAGGACTCGGACAAGATCTTATGGGACCTTAAGCAGAATATGATTAAGCAACTCCATCTTTCTGTCAAGAACATCCACCAGCAGGGTATCCAGGGGGGGATTTACCATCAGGCAATACTAGGCAGTTGCCCAGGGCCCCAAGTTCTGGGGGCCCCATAAAACTCTGTTTCCATGTATGGTTAATACAACTAATCCTTATTTGTGCTCATTAATTATGTTTTTGATAAAAATCCTTTGGCTAAAATGCCATCAGAACGCTGATAAATAGAGAGGAAAAAGGGACAAGAAGAGAGGGACAAAACCTAGAACAAATAATGGATGTCTATTCTATTAACATTTCTCTATCTTTAGAATTGGTCTGTTTTATGGGTTTACTTCTCAGGGGGCCCCCTGCCTGTCTTTGCCTAGGGCCCCAAATTTCCTAAATCCGCCCCTGAGGGTATCAATACTGATTTGATAGAATCTGGGAGAGCGGACCATGTTCAACCATCCATTTTCTTTAACCTTATCCCTCAGTGGGATCAGGAGGTGCTGGTGCATATCTCTAGCCACGTTCTGGGTGAGAGGTGGGATCACCCTGGACAGGTCACCAGTCTGTCGCAGTATGTTCAACCAGCTTAAAAGTAATCGGTAATCAGATTTATTATTTGCACTTTTACTAAGTGATCTTTCTAACTCCCTTAAATCTGAAATTCCAATGCCAAAATTGTTTAAATCTTTTATCTTTGGACCCCCTGCAGAGTGACGTCACACCTGCAAGATCCTATCCTTACCTTCCTGCTAGATTGCAAAAAGCAGCTTGCTCATGAGTTGTCAACTTAACGCGCTAAATCTTAAATGTACATATAAAAGAAAAAGGTGCGCAGTGCTTGCTACTGAATGGCAACACTATCAAAGTCAGGAAAAAGTTTTAAGTAAAGCCGGGATTAAAACAGTAGCTACAAGAAGCTTCAAATAAAAGGTGTTCTTTATGTTCAACCTAAACACCAACTCCGATAGACCATCAGTAGAGCAGGTGTTTAAATTAATCAATCACTGCTGCGAAAGCTTATAGCAGTGAAAGCTAATATACCACAGCCATCACTTAATAAACGCAAAATAAACAACCCTCTAAAAACGGAAAACTGTAATGGACTGAAAGTCCTGTTTTTTATGTGGGAAATTATTTGCGTGTGTTTTAGTATAATTCTGATATATTGGCGCTGCTGTCTGTTTCTATGGCAACGATACTGAATGTAGTGTAGCTTAGAGACCTGCACGGGTCGAGTTTTACCAACCCGCACCCGCCCGAACCCGTTAGGATGACTACCGAACCCGACCCGTCACCCGCGGATATCTTCAATTCAAATGTTATGGGGAGAGGGCGGAGGGGGGTGATGGGGAGAAAGCGAGAGGCAACAGATTCTTTTTTCTGAGTTTTTTTGTCGGGGTTTGTGGACGGTGAGCAGCGGGGAGAAGTTTTTTTTATTTTCTTTCTGAGGAGCGGCATGAATGGGGTTTTAATCAGATATATACAGCACCGAAAGCAAAATACGTGTACAAAATATTGGTGGGGACATGTCCACACCAGTCCTTAAGGAAGTTACGCCTATGATTGTTCAGATTAACTTGTCTTCTTTATGGCTTTTATTCGGTCCTTTACTGCATTTGTTTTGGGAAAATATGAGGAAAAAATAAATACAGAAAAAAAATATATATTTTTTAAAATCGCAAAATAATTATAGGGTGGCTAATGCCAAAGAAAGGGTGGCTGAAGCCACCCTTAAATAGGTCTAACGACGCTTATGTGTGGCTCAGTTCCAAACTGGATAAAACAGTCCTATAAATACCTAGGGGAAAAAAATTAAACTTTTGTAAAGCAAGAATTTGAAAATTGCTTGTGTAATTCCTTTTATACAAGTTTGGAGTCCTCAGATAGAAATAGTGCTATGTAATATCATTATTTTCAAGTAGGTTTGTATAATTTAGTAATTTTATAAATCCTTAAGAAAAATCAAACATTTCACATGTGTGCTTTCACTATTAGGGAAATGTCCAATCATTGCTTTGAGGCACTAAACTCTCTCGGATGCTGCCTCTGCAAGTCTTTGATTGAGTCAGTTTCAGCTATAATCTCACTTGACAAAAGTATTTTGATTCTTTACTACATTTTTGGCTTAACAGTGGTGTAAACTCTGGCAATCATGACCTTTAGTCCAAGTGCTTTGTATGTTTTAGATTTTTGTCCTACTTTTAAAACACTGAACGAGTTGCAATCGCAGATGTTTCGTAACAGGAAGGTATCTCAAACAATCAAGGCCAGGGACCCCGAGTATAGAAACCACAAATAGATTCACTCTTCCACTATGCTTGGTGTTATGTTGTCATGCATGCAGCAAAATATATATCAAAAAGGTTACAGCATAACTTTATAGTCAATGTTACTATATATTAATTTGAATTTACTAAAATTAAGAACCAGTTTTGACTTTTCATTTGTTTTAATAATTGGAGTTGCTATAGCTGTACGTACCCAACATGAAATATTTCTCAGTATATTTTACCTCAATACTTTACCTCAGTATAAGAGCTTTTTTCCCCCACATATTTATCTTAAAATGTGCCACATCCAAGTCTGTGGATATAAATAATTCACCCAAACTACAATTCTCTGTCCTTAAAATAGTGTCATTTGCTAATAATTTACATCCTTACTGCTCAGAGTTATTTTGTCTTTTATAACCCTTTAGCTCAAAGTTTTTTATGCGGCTATTTATCTGATACTGCTGTTTGGTAGCTGTTACTGTGGAAATTACTTGTTAGCAAAGATGAATTACTGCAAGGCCAACTTGTCTCTATTTGACTGCTGAACTATTACTGTATAAAGAGCGCAGTTGGAACATTTTGTAAAATTTATTTCTCAATGTGTCCGTCTGTTTTCTACTGAAATGAGTTAACAGGGAGGAGTTGGCCAGTAACATACTGAGTGATATATGAGAATGGAAAATTAGATATTTCTGCCTTGCTCATGTTTTTAACCACAGCACTCAGTGAGCATTCTGAAGTCCTCATTATCAGGCTAAATAGGTTTAGCTTTTTCCAGACACATTTTTGCAATTGTTCTTCTTAATTAGTAAAATGCATGTATTTATACTGATTATCTGATTGGTGAATGTTAAAGGACTTTAAAGATGTATTATTCACCGAACATGCAGGTGCCAGGCGTCTGCGCTTTCACATGCATGCAATGTATTTATTTCCTTTTTATTTATAAAAAGGAATAGAAATGTTAACATTGGAATTTATTTTAATGTTTTTAGATCCTTAAAGTTTCTGGTCATTAGCTGTTTTGCGTATGTCTGCCTCATATAATCTCAATTTATACAATTATGATTGTTGTAGTTTCAAAACATTTAAGGGGTATGAAGACTTTTTTGCTGTTCAACTCCTGAAACAAACCTCTTTAACGCTTAGATGCACCATAAATTGGATTTAAACATAAAACCTGACTGTTTTATCAACGTATATATGCAAAAATCTGTTTTAAGGGTCTGTTTCCATTTCTTTGTTTCAGTAATACCCCTTTAAATGGCGTAAATGTGGACTGGACAGGCTGGTGCTTCGATGACGACGAAGTCATGGATCACATTGCTCCCAGAGGGGAAGGACTTCTGGAGGGAATCAGCCGAGTTTTGCCTGACTGGGGTTTCATTGAAGGTCAAGAGCAAGACGATGGAGAATACAGTCAGGTGTAAATCTGGAAAAAGACCCTCAGTGAGCAATACAAAGTCAGTCCTGTTAAATTAGCTCAAGACCTGGCAGTGAGAATGAAATGTTTAGCTAAAGAATAAAAAAGCAGGAATGCAGATTGATAAGTATGAGTTATGGTTGCACTAGCAAATGCAAAAAATGTTTCTTCAGTATCAAAATTTATGAGCAAAGCTAATTTGTAAAATATTGTAAAATATTCAGAATCATGAATATACTGTAAATTCTGCAATTTTATATTGTGATTTATATCATATTTTATTTATATCACCCACATCTTCTCTTTTAGCAGGAGAATTCTGTACATTAGAAATAAAAACAACTTTATTTCTGTTAAGTGCACTTTATTTTTTATATACATATACATAATAATCAACACAATTTACAGCTGAAATTAAATTACAGATTGAATTCCTTTATAGTACCTGCTACAAAGTCTGCTATTAAGTTATTTACAAAATATGTGCAAATAATATCCTATATAGGATTTTTACATGAAAAATGACATTTCACCAAGAAGTACAACTGGAAATGTGCTCTTGCAAAAAAAATCTAAAGGGTTCTTTTCAGTTTTTCACTCGGTTCTTTTCTAACTCTTCACGCTCGTTGGAGATGGTGTGAACAATAGTCTCCAGAGCGGGATATTGAAGAATCCTTTTCCTCTGCAAAGAAGAGATAACACTCAGTTATTAAAGGCAAACAAATAAGAGCTGAGGAGTATTCGTGAGACCTAGGATTTATTTATCAGATTTAAAGAATCGATCAACCTGAGGTTGGGTTTTATGGGTCAGGATTTTAGTTTTGGCAATCATTTTTTTCCCGTTTGAGGGGGAAAAAAACAAAGAATTTCCAGAATTTTTCAGTATAGTTTCTAAAGGAACTGAAATGTTTAACTTACCCTTTGGTGATTCTTGTACATCTGAGCGAGGATCAGTAGCAGAATGACGAGAAGAAAGCTGAGGCCGATCACGGTGCCGGTGTTACTTGAGGCTGCTGATGATTTTTCTCCACTCAGACCAGCTAAAGCAGAAGAGAAAGATTATGTTGTTAGATTTCCAATAAAGATAAATCCAGTCTCCTTATGAAGTGAGCATTTATTTCAAGCCTGTCTTACCCATTAGATAAGCCTGCGTGGTCACGTTTCCCAAAAGTCCACTTTTCCCAAAGTAACGGCATGTCCATTCACCCCAATTATCTTCCACTGTAATTGTCGGTCCATGCAGGATTGACCCAACTGACTTTGTGCCATTTATGTCATAGGTCACATGGACCCACTCGTAGTTGGTGACTTCGCTCGAGTCTGACAGTTGGCAGCTCAGCATCACAGAGCCTCTCTTCTTTGATTTGACAACTGAGGAAAGAAGAATTAAAAACATTAAAATAAACATATTACTGCGAAAAAAAATTAGAAGCAGCTGGATGCGTTGTAGAAACATACCTTTAGCAACAACAAGCTGCATTGACCTTGTCAGTGTTTGTGTTTTTACGATTCCCGTGCACCTGTACTTGCCCTCATTTTCAGGCTGGACCTCTTCAATTATAATGGACTTGTCCGAGGGTGATGTAGAAACAGAGCGGTTCTTAAACATGGGCGAAAATTCGCTGTCAAGTTTCTCCACCATCGCCCAAGTGGGTGAAATCCCCGGAGAGAACATACAGGGCATCGTGAACGGAGACCCCAGTGCAGCATATAGTTTGATGTTGTCCTTGGATGGCTGGATTATTCCTAAAAAGGAAAAATTTATTTTATAAGTGTGATCTAAATCAGTACAAACCCCCAAAGCACTTAAATGATCCGATTCTCACCTCTAACAGAGAGCTGCGCTGTGGCTTTCCATACATTCTCGGACTCGTGGATGAAACATGTCCAATTTCCTGCCAGCTCTTCTAATGCCTTTTCCTTGATGAGTCTTCCACTTTGGTTTTTTATGACTGAATTCTTTGGCTCGTATGAAATACTGTTCACCATCCAATTAACTACAGCACCTTCAGGCCAAGGTGACATGGTACATTGAACAGACACGACATCCCCCAACATAGGAGCCGACGGAGAGAATGACACTGTGAGAGAGGAAGGAAAAAAATTAAGTTTTAGTGTTCAATAGTAGCACAATTTCTGCACCTCAGAAGCTTACATTTAGCAAAGAAAGGAATGGCTAAATCTAATCTGTAAACTTCATTTATAGTTTTTCAGCTTATCCAAAGAATGCAACATCAGCGGATCTTGTACTAGAATTTCTTTCTACCAACAGTAAGAAATGCCAGAAATACAAGAGCTCAAACTAAAACCTTGAGTTTCTTACCTTGAAGAATTCGGAGCATAATTCCTTTTTCTATAACACGGCCTTTGAATTCCACCTTGCATTTATAAAGTCCGCCATCTTCCACGTTCACATCGTTTATTTCTAGGCTGTACTTTCCTTTGACAAAGTCGGAGTGTGGGCACCGCACCCGTGAAGACCCTTTCTGAAACCAGCTAGAGCCCAAGTACTGCAGACCGCTGCTTTGCTTTCTCCAAACCGTGCTGTGTAAAAAAAAAAAAAAAGAAACATCAGAGTCAGGAACCATGCAGATAAACTATGAAGAGACAAAATCTCTTTATCAATAAGGTAACACATCTATATATTTTTGTTTAACATTGGAAATACATGAAATAAAAACATTTGGTACTAATGACGTTAAAGGATAAGTAAAGGGAAAAATATATCTTAAAGGCATCTGGATTTATTTTTATTTTTCCTATTCATTTTTAGTTTTGTATTTATTTGTGAGCTTTTTGTAACAGTCAGTTAATAGTACCAGTAAGTCTATAGACAAGTGGAATGGTCTCCAGCTGTGCAGGTAAAACAAAGACATTTTAGGGTCTATTTGCAGAGAGAGAATTGAAATAAAAATTATTTCATGATTGATGCAGCACATCAAATATGAAATAGTTAAATAAACACTGAAATATTGTTCATGTTCTGGATATTTTTCTTATCTTTTAATAAATACTATACACAACATCATCAAATCAAATCTTGATAACCAGTTACTTAATTTTGTGCTTAAAAAATGTTTACAGAGTTAATTTGTTTATTTACCTTTGATTTGATTTCAACATTAATCTAATTAGTTATTTTCCTATTTTAAGTAGTTGTGTACGTTATAAATTATTAATCAGTTGTACTGAAGCAGAAGGGAAATCAGCATGGATAAGCAAAGAGTGCTGAGATTTGTGCCTTACCCTTTGTTGTCTTTACTCCAGGTGATGGCAGCAGGATCACACTGTGGTATTTCACATTTACAAGGTAGCACAACCTGGGAACCTGCCTCAGCCGTCACCTCTGTCATCTCACATCTAGCTCCTAGAATTACAACACAAGATGAATAAACTGTGAAAATGAAAACTCACAAAATTTAGAAATATATATGTGATGCTTTTTAGATCTATTTAAAAAAAAAAAACTTGTAAAATTACCTGTTGTGAGAAGGAAAATCCCTCCAAAGAGGACAATCTCCACAAGCATCATTTTACTGCTTCAAAAGTACTCCCTCAGTTAAAATAAATCCTTCAAATTGGACCAGGCTCTATTTTCCACCTCCTGGATACAGTTGCAGTCCTTCACTGATGTTCTCTCTCATGTGCTTTTATCTCGTTCAGCTTGGGGAGGTTATATATGAGCCCGTGGGTGAAAGTGGAGGCAGACTGTTGGGTAGTTCCTCTGCAGATCATGTGACTTCAGCTACGGGGGAGACTTTGATGCGCTGTGGTTTTGTCAGACTGGAAACTGTAAGACAGAGAAGTAAACAGGGAGCACCACTTCCTCCCACGGATTCTCTCTATCCTTTTCTGGTTTCCAATTCTTCTAAGTCTTTAACAGTTTCTACAAATTAATAGCTCACAAACAAAACATAGAAAAGTAAACAGAAGAAAGGTTCTTGACCAAACTCGGTAACATAAAACATTATGCTTTGGTGTCAATATACTTAATCTCCAATGGAGTATTGACCTTTGGTGTAATTTATTTTAGTTTTCTATATTGAATCATACCGAATGTTTCTTGTTTACAAATTTTGTCAGTGTCATTCATGGAAGCTCTGGTTGTTTTTACGAAACTGCAACGCCAAACACACTGCGTCACCACTCCGTCACTGCCAGTCATCTACGTTCACGCCCCATGGTTAATGCTACCAAGTCGGATTTTTAGCAGCAGCCTGAAAATGAGAGCAGGTCTCAAAGCTTGATAATCTGGATATTCATAAAAATGAATCATCTCCTCCATTCTCATGTCTTCTCTTTCCCATTCGTCAGTTCTTAGACAACTGCAGCAGCAGAAGAAGAAACAGACCCACACTGTTAGGCAAAGGATTGATTCACATCTCATATCTTTCCCGCAAATTTCATATAGGGATGTGATTAATGAGAAAGCACAGAGATTTTTCAGAACAAAGACGTAAACATGGTGTAATAATTGTCTGTCATGCAAACACTTAGCCTACACTGTTTAAAAGGTGACCCAGTTAAGTGTTTCTCTTATGTTGTTGCCTCAGCACTTCTTATATCAAAACAATTTACTTTTAAGATAGAAGTTTCTTCAGTGGAATAGAAAGTGATTTTACCTGTAGTTGGGAACTCTACTTAAAAAATATTTAAAGTGAATTGACTTTGCTTTACTAATATACACTTCCAAATGTAGATTTCCTATTTTTATGCAGTGCACAGAGGCTCTCAGAAGTGCACATGCATGGTTATATTTTTACCAACCACAATTTTACAATAAAAATAAATACATCTAAAAATGTAAAATATATGCAATGCCCTGGTTTCAGAGGTGTGCACAACCTTAAACAAATGACTTTTTGAAGTACCTTTTTTATAAAAAAAAAAAAAAGGTATAAAAAACAAGTCTCTAAATCTATCAGATTATGAGGATATCTTTTGTTCACAGGCCTCTTCAAGGCTTCACAGAGTCCGTTTTAAATGTATATGGATGCATGTGTCTATGAAGCTCTGACCCTCAGCATTCAATTGGCCTTTTGCAGTTATGGGTCTCAGCCTGAAGAAAAAGAAAAGCTGTACAGTATGACACTTTTGGTGGGAGAAAATAATCCATCAGCAGCTTAATCTTCAGTAATAAGGGTTCTTAATAGTCTGAGACAGTAAAGATTCTCAGTTGAAAAAAACATGTTTCTGTGGTATTGATTGTTCACATCAAAACCTTCATATGAACTCATGAGATTTATAGATCATGACCTAAAGAATGAGATCTCTGATGCAAGCACATGATGCAGGTGTCCTCCACTGGCTGGTTGGTCTCCGCCTTTCAGTTGGAATACAACATCCCTCTG